TCCCCTCCCAGTTGGGCCTGGGCTCCGCCCTGCCAGCCCGTGCCATCGGCTGCTCCGAGTGGGCGCACGGGCCTCAGATTTACGTGGGGTGCCCTGCCTCAGCTTGGCACCCAAGCACCGGCATTTACCTTTTATTGCCAACTTCAGTAGTTAGTGCAGTAAATGACTTAACTAAGCGGGGCCTGAATGGAATGACTAATAAACGTTATGTCACAGCACACGCTTCAGCTCATAGCAAAATGATTTGTAATTACCTAATTAGCGTTATGCAAATAACACCCTCATCTCCATAATGTGCCTTCCCAGCTCTCTATTAAAAGCAGGGAGTCAACTGCACAGCTCCAGAGACAGCAAGGAGGCTGAGGGGCCCAGCCTGGTCCGCAGCAAGGCAGAGCTGTGCTGGCCTCCAGCCTGGCAGGGTCTGTGCCTGCCGGGGCAGACGCAGGGAGGCGAGTGGAGGGGGTCTGGACGGGGTCCTCTCCTCTGCCCGACTGCCCCTGCAAGCTGCGGCCGGAGGAGTCTCTCACTGCGGAGGGAAGCAGCAGGAGGGCAATGACTGAGAAACCTGCTGCCCCCGCAGCACCCCAGCAGAGCTAACGAATGGGTGCAGAGGCCACCGGCCGGGTCCCACCGAGGGATGGCCAACCTCCGCTGCCGCCGGGCCGCCTGGCACCCGCTGAGCAAGGCTGAGTCCACAAACGCTCTCAGCAAACGGGTGCAGCCACGGGAGGTCTCCTTGAGGAAAGACAGCTCTGATGGGGGTGGCGGGAGAGAACAGCCCTTCCTCTCTTGCAAGTGCTCTTCCCAGGCTCTCGCTTCCTTCGCAGGCACCACCACCTGCATTAACAAGTATGGGCACAGCACCCAACTCTCTCTTTTCTCCCCATCACGCACAGCTGCTTACCCCAGAACAACCTGAGGGTAAAATGCCGCTCCTGCTACTGTGCCATGGTGGAAAGTGTCGTGCTACTCACGCAGCAGGCCCAGGATCTTTCACTTCATGGGGGTTAAAAGTGCAAGTGACATCTGGTTGGAAAGATGCCTGCCCTTTGCCACTGCTGAGAGCACTCCATGGCGTGTCCTGCACAGATCCCAGCAGCAGCCATGGGGGCTTGGAGATCATCAGTGCTGATGAAGTGGACCGGTGCAGGAACGCAAGGCTTGGTCTCCACACCAGGAGACCCTCGGGAGGATCAAATGACTCCAGGATGAAGGGGCTCTCCAGGTGAAGTGCCAACTGCCTTGCCTTTCCCAGATAGGAAGGGGAGGCTGGTTCTCTCGTTTCACCCTAGAATCAGCTTGGGACTTTTCCTCTGGGGAAAGATGTCTGCAGCTGCCTTTCTCCTGCTGGGAATCAGAAACTCTGGGGCATCAGGAGGAGGACAAGTCTGCAGGGTGCTGGCAGTCAGTCATGCTGCTGGATTTTTCCCCTCTCTGTGATGCACTTGCCTGACCAGGACATCAAGCTTGCCCAGCACTTTGCCCTTTCCTCCAGCTCTCAGCCACAGGAGAGACCCCATGGTCCCTGCTCTGGGGAGCTCCCTACAGGCAATATGCCTCCTACCCTAGGGATGCGTGCCGTGGAGGCTCCAAGGACACCAAATCCATCTCAAAAACAAGATTCTCAGAAGACATACAGCTGGTAACTTCTGAATACTGTGAGAAGAAACAACCAGACAACAGCCAGGCTAACAGCTGCTGCCCCCCTGGCTAGCCAGCACCATCCTCTTTGTGAGCACTGCCATACCCCAGCCATGGGCAGGGAGCACCCAGCAGCCAGGCGACAGAGGAACCCAGTACCACAGCACTCGGCTGGATCGGCCCAGCCCTGCTCAGCTCCAGCCCACTCATGAGCGAGCACCTGCCCCGACCTCTTCCACTGTCCCAACCTGTGACTGGCATCTGCAGTCCAGGGACTCGAGCACTCCAGCTGTGAGAGACAGCTCCTTCTGCCTCTGCAGGAGGCCACAAGAGAGCAGGGACCAGGCCCCTGACGGCTGCCCAGGGTGAGGCATGAATGGCCAGGAAGGAAAGAGCGGCAGTTCTTCCCGGGGGCAGGGACTGCCCAGGTGCTCGAGGGAGCGTTTGCAGCTCCCAGACCTCGGATCGGGCCACGCTGTTGGAGCAGCGACCAACAAAGCCAATACCAAGGCAGACCGATGTATCAGAACAGGCCCTGTTCTCCTTAAATCTCTGCCACCCTCGGTCTGAGCCACCTGTGGCTGCTGTCAGTGTGTTGCAGAGCCCAGGCCAGACGCTTGGACCTGGGAAATACTGGGGGCCCTTCAAGTGCTCCCTGATGCTGAGCTGCTTCTGCTGCCACTGAAACTGCAGCAAGCAGCTCGACACGGTCCCAGGAGGCAGGGAGGATTCCTGCCACTCGCATGACTCCATCATCCCTGTTCCTTTCCCTCCCTCGCTCAGTACCTCCCCACCAAACATGCAGGTAGGATCCCCAGCCCAAGCCCTCCTGCGCGTCCCAGCAGAGCCGAGATGGCCAAGGCCGGCCCTGCAGCGCCTGCCTGCCCCGAGCTCCCAGGCAGGGCTCGCTGCTGCTCGCCTGCGGCACAGCCCCTGCCTCAGGTGCTGCGCTGGGGTGGGGGCACCGTGTGTTTCCCAGTCCTCCCAGTCCTTAGGACGCTCGCAGAGGAGGGGCAGGTGGCAGGTGGCTCCTGCTGGGCTGCCCACACACGACCGTGGGCAAACAGTGGGATTTCTGGGGCTCCAACCCCACTTGGAGGGGCTTTCCCACTGCCGCAGCTCAGGGCCATCCTGGAGCCCTGGGGCTGCCCAGTCCCAGCCCTGGCAGTGGGCCCCATCAGACCAAGGCCCCAGCACCTTCTTCGCAGGCTGCAGGACCCTCCGTTCCCCTTCCTCCTTTGTGCCTCGTGGATTCCAGCTTCACTCCGAACAAAGGGCCTGTTGCTCTCACCAGAGCCCGGGAAGAGCTAACAAAGGACGACAGCTTTTCTTCCACTCCAAGGCTTCTTTCCCAAGCAAAATCACCACCTCTCTTCCCCTGCAGCAACACTGGACAGCACTGCAGGGCCAGACCCCTTTGGAGGCTCGAGCATGGCATGGCCATGGCAGGAGAGCGGGGAGCAGCGGGATCACACCCTTAGATTCACACTCGGGGTTTGTCAGAGCTGGGAAAGGAATCTAGGACTCAGAGCAGCTTCGAATAGTGCACAGACCCAGCTTCTCAGACGGGCTGGGACAAGTTCCTGAGCTCCCTGGGGAGTGTGTATGAGTTGAATCAGACTCAAGTCATAGCTTTAGGGAAAGTATGGGGCTTTCTCAGATTTTTCTGGGAGGAGGCACAGATTTTTCATGTGGCAGGGGCATTTCTGGCCAGATGAAAGGGTAGCACAAAGCAGATGGCACAGGCAGAAGGATCTGGACTACTTCTGCTGAGGCAGAGCTGGCAGAATGGCTTTCCCTGCACAGGAAGGGAAGGTACAGGCTCCTTCCTGGTGGCCTGGGTGGCCAGAAGAGCCCCAGAGCTCACCAGCTCAGACTCGATAGGGCTAAGGTCCCAGAAGGGGCCACTTCTACAGGAGTGGGGAGCCCTTTCCAGCCACGTCGGGGTAGAAGGGCTATCCCAGGGCCAAAAGGC